CCCAAATCCTTTCTCTCATTCAAGGTCTTCGTTGAGTTGTACTTAAGATAACACCGGGCGTTGCTCTTGTCGCCTTTGTTTTGTTTTTTGGACGATCCAATAATGCCTATCTTATTCCCACAGCCATTCTTTTTTGTTTGCATTGGCAATTGAACGGTTGCATCGATGAGCCATCCACATCTGGAAAGTAAAAAGAGAAAAAATGTTGGCAAACGTAACTTATAGCGGAGCTCGCATAGCCCCATAAGTATACAAAATAGTGGTAACATATCAAGCCGAAAAAATTTGGATTTACGACCATACGACCGAACGTACAAGGTGTTACTTTTAGCATGCGCGGCCAACTGTACCACGGGCGCTATCTTATAATCAGTCCTCTACACAAAAACGGAGAAGTTACGAATGAAAATCCATTAATATTACCACGCACTTTATCCATAGTAGGGGCTTTAGTTTTGTTAAAGAGACGTGCGAGAAAATAAAATTCGAGCTCCGCTTTTAGGCTTGCCTAAATCTTTATATTAAGTTTGAAAGAAAGAAGCAGCTACGAAAATACACCAAGATTGTTTGCCGTTGATTTGTGTGCCTGGATGGGGGCAAAGGCCGCGTAGAGTTTTGCAGCTTTCTGAACTTGCAGCACATGGCAGTCTGTGGTCTTTTCCTAAATCAGGCAGTCACGGAAAGCCGCAAAACCCTAGAAAAAAATGTATCTTTCAAATCGACACTCTTGATGCCAGAAGTATCAATGAACTCTTTTCATTCACTACCACAAATTTATTCAAGTTTTTCACGTCATCATGTTCCCAGCGACAGCGTAGCTCCATTTTTTTCTGCATCAGATAAACAAACACAAACTACAACCTCTATTTGCTCTAAAGCAGGGCTAGAAATGTCAGCTTGAGAAATTCTTAAGATCTCTTAATGGTAACCAATTTTCACATTATCAAATCAATATCAGTTTATAAATGGCGACGAGATTCTGTAAGCTAGTGTTATTTACATGTAGACTCGTAATAGCCATGATAAATGCATACAAACAAGTAAGCAGCAACCTACGAGCATCTTTCGAGACCAGCCTGCCAAGCTTTGTTCAGCTGACTTTATGTGGCCAACATGTCTCCGTGTAAAGCACAAAGAGGCTGTGCGTCGTAAAAGGTCAGTATGTATCTTCCAGCGTAGGTTTGAAATACTCGCTCTGTAGGAAGCGTCTTTCCCATGATGTGCGTATCTAAATAAACGAAATTACCCATAGCATCGAATATTTAATTGTGAAAGTTAAAAACCGTGAAAACAACACTAAATCATTGTTACAATTTCGCGTCTGTTTTAATAATTTTTTTTCTTCTTTTGTTTCAAATAATTTCGGAATTTATGAATGAATGGGAAAGAGGGGCTAACGATCAAATAGAAAAGTTCTCGTATGTACATGTATGAGTTCTCAGTATATTACCAATGATAGTAGGCAAAAGACAAAAAGCCCTTATATTAAACTTCAAGGAATGTGTCTCATTATATCATTACCTTTGCGTGATGTTGGGATGGCAATAGCATTTTAAACCTTAACGTATAATTAGTAAGGTGATAATTCGTTAATTAGATGTGCAGTATCCCGTAAGCTTTCTTCCTCGTTAAGCCAAAGAAATTTATGCAAAGCAACTTTCACTAGACTTAACAACGTTATACTTATTTGCAATAAATAGCAGCACTTTAACTTCTGGGAGACACTGACAGGAAAATTCATCCAATCGTGAACCAAGAGTGCAAGTCCTCTGTTACTACATAGGCTGTTGTTACATGTAGATAGGCTTGAAATAAACTTAATTCTAATCAGATTAGAGAAGGGTACCTTCAAAACCAATGGATACATTTGGTACCAATTTGGATGCAAAGACCTGATAAGTTCTGGAATGAGCTCTGTGATCATGCAGTTTTGAGCAGCTGCAAGTTGGTCTAGGCTTATTTTCCCATCCATAATGCAAAGGATTGGGGAAAGCGGTATAATCTTCCGATCGTCTCATCTAGCAGACTTTAGCTTGGGTTAGGAGGTTGAATTTTATATATTTCTTACTTTCACAAGGCGAAATACGCATGCAGAGGTGAGGTAATGGTAATACAAGGTAGTTTCTCTAGAATAAGTAATGGGCCTTGAACAAAAGGTTTCAAAATAAGTTGTATAACAACTGTTGTTCCGAAAGGTTCAGCTATCAATAAGGTATGTCCTCCTTCTACGATCTGTTTAGAGTTAAGATTCGAGTCAGTTTCCTGAGGAGGGATAAACTAAGACATTTTTTGGAGTTCCTCCATGGCCTAGAATGGTGGGATTTACTCTCCGAAGTTTTAGCCTAGTACAGTCACTATATTGTAATTGTTCAGGAGTTATGCTGATTTATGTCGGTTCCCTGGATTGTTAATTTCATTTTCAGTGTTTTAGCTGATTCATTTAGCTCCAAACTTTTCATAGTGGGCTATAGAGGCAGATGTCAAAAACTTACCTCAGCAGATGTGCCGTAATAATCAAAGCCAGGACTTCCTTGCATTCATTGTGGATCCAGACACCTTTCCGAGTCACTCAACTCACAACTATAGAACCCATCGTGAGAAGTTTTAGCAATATTAAACGAAAGACAAGCGGATGGACCATGCTCCAGGCAATGGAAGACACACTCGAAAATGTCCTTGACTTTTCTTGTTGTTGTTAAATCTCCAACCAAGACCATATCCGCCATTTTGTAAAATTGCCTATTGTGCTTGATCAGGTGCTGAGCGAAACCAAGTGGTTTTTATAATTGTGACTAGAAATATTAGCAAAATGGTGAAGCTTTTTTTGAAATACATCATTATCGAAGGTGGAAGGTTGACCGTAAAAAAAAAAAAAACTGTGGACACAGCGAAACGTGGTAATTTATTGAGCAGTTTGACGTTACCTATTTAAAGCGACGTTGCTTTGACGCAGCATGCTGCCAGAGTCAATTATACCACCAGGATGATTGTGTAAGAAGAAATAAAATTTTTCCATCATCAAAACTGTCTGTATGTCTTTGAGTAAGAGAAGATAAGATCTTTCTCTTTTCTTTACTTTTGGTTCGACGATCTCGAAATCCTTCGGAACGGCTACGGAGCTCGAGAGCCAAGAAACACTCTGCTACAGAATTATATAACACTTTACGACGGTAACTACTAATTGCGGACGAAGATATTGCGGCAAAGAATGTCACGCGACAACATCAAAAGTTGTTACATAAGTGTCTTCGTTGGTTTTTTTTTTTAACAATTTCTTGAACACGTTTTGCACAGTCCTATTTTGTAATCAGTCTTTTCAACAATTTTTTTTTTACTTTTTTCGACAACACCTATCGTTTTTAGGTTCACGATAGCCATTGCACACTCACCTTGAACGAGATAGGGCATTTGTTTAAAGTGGCCTTGGACGCTGCACCTCGGCTTTTGAAGAGAGAAATCATAAAAGCTTTCCTCAATAACTAAATACAATGCCTGCCTACAATGGAAAATGAAAGTGTCACACTGTGTTTTAAAGTGACATAATTATTTTTCGGATTAGACCCAAGAGCAATGATGCACGCTTAGAATCAATTATTTTTTTTTAAATTTAGCATTACGAATTTTAAGCAGTTTATTTTCCAGGACTATGAAACCTTTGGTGCTTGATATTTACTCCTATGTTAAAAACAGAAGTAGTCAAATCTGTTCTTTGCAAAAAAAGTCGGGCCGAAAAGAAAAGTTGATTAAACAAACTTAATAGAAATTGGCTATCAGCAGGACTCTTATAGACCGCGGTTTTGTTCAATGGTAATAACAACTTATTACTGATTTGTTCTAGATCCCACAATTGGCTACACACGAGAAAATCTATTAGATTTTCCTTCTTCTTTCCCCCCCCCCCACCCCCTCCATAAAAGATTTAAGATAAAGGTAATAGGTAATAGGGCTAACAAATATTTGAAAATACAAAAATTAGAAACTAATATCGAATGCGAAATGAACTGACACAGTTTGGGTGAAGGTTATCATCCGTCTTAGTGTTAACTGCGGACAACAGACTCAATCCAGTGGTACCTTTAATATCCATCTAGAATTGAAGGAGGGGAATATATAGACCGAAATCTTGTGCCGTTGAATTTCAGTGCTACTTCAACTAACGCGCAAAGTATCTTGAAGTGTCCTTACGTAAAACTAGACCACAACATTGGTTTAGAGCGTGCGATGAAGCCCGATTCTGGAAGAGAATTCGGAATCACATGAGTTGAGCGTCATCACAGATATAAAGGGCTTTATTATTTGGAACAACCCAAAAGAGTTCCCTCGGCCATGATGATTAGTAATGTTTTATGAATAAAGGACCTGAAGGATCGGATGTAGGTGGTGGCGGTGGCCTTATGGATTATGTTATTTGTTAGGCATTCATCATCAAAAAGGCAAAGTTCCTTTCTCTCCGTGAGGGGATGAATCAATGGCTGCGAATATATGAAAATCATTTATGTGAACTGCGGTTGTTAAGAAATGAATATGAAAGTGATATTCTTACGAATGAATACTAATTAAGCAATAAGCTTGTTACTTCAATTGGTAGAGCATACATGCAAATACAGTTTTCTTATGAATGAAACTATGACACACACAAATCTAGTTTTGCAATTCCGTAGAGAAGCTTATTCTTACAGTTATGGATTCAAATTTACTGAAAACTCTGTCTTAAACAACACCATGTTGAGCCATGTTCGACAAACTTTCTCAACAAGCCGCTTACTTAAGAAATGCAACTCTGACTCCTCTTTAGTCTCTCTGAGTTCTGCTTGAGAAGGTAAAAACCACAAACTAAGAATTCTATACGCAAATAATGTTTCATTCTATTTTTTTTTCGGTTCTCTGTCAACCAGACCAGCAGCTGTTTGTGAGCCGCGCGTCATGGTTTAGAGTGTGCCGATGTGCCGATGTTGCCTTGGTTACCTATCTCTCCTAAAATTGTTCTTTTCGCGACACTTTTATTTGAAACACCAAGCGTTGTAGGTGCTGGTTTTGGATATTGGTGAAGAAGAGCCAATGACGCCAACTTTATTTCCACAACCTCCCTTTTTCGTCTGCATTGGGAAGCGCGCGGTGGCATCAATTAACCATCCATACCTGAATTTCAAGAAAATTACCAAATAAAGTCAGAACCTAATGAAATATTTCAAAACATGAAGAAGCTCTAAATAGCGTAGCATAACGAATTATCAAATCAAAAACCGTTTAACAAAAGTTTCCTCTGATCAGAGGTGCATTAACAAGTCAATACAATGTCTTAGCATAAAGAAGATTTAGTCTTATTGGGGTCCCATTCACTGAGAACAGAGCATACGTTTTATAAGCACCTTATCAGTTTTCTGCGCGCTCTACTTTCGGCTATCAAAATAAACTGTTAGTATGCTACCTATAAATAAAGATTTTTCTACAGAAGTTTTGCTTACAAATTGAGACAATTCCCACCGGCATTTCTTTAAGGGATGGAGAAGAACGGGCCATTACAAAGACGAAGTGAAAGGGGAAGAAAAAAAGTAAACATTTACTTACTCGCATGTTTCAGCACCAGCTTTCCAGGCCTTGTGTAGTTGGCTGTATGTGGCCAATTGTGCTCCTTGAAGTGCGCATAAACGTTTGGCATTTTCATAGTTTAGCTTATACCTGCCTGTTTTAGTATGAAACACTCCTTCCACAGATTTGTAACGAACCATCTTCTTCGTATCTTTGAATACGATATAGAAAACAGAAGAAAATAAAAATCATGCGGCGTTTTCGGCATATGTCTCATAGCTATGGGATTTTACAAGGGAAAGGGTTCAAAAATTCATTACGTAGCGTAATGCAACGAGCAAACAATGGAAAAAGGGGATATTCGAAAATCAAAGGGGGTTTTCGACGATATGAAGTTATAGAGTCCCCATAGGAACCAAACTTGGTAATCCCAGCAAAAGCAAGTCTCAATTTCGGTGGTTTCTTTTTGTTCTAATCCACAACTTCAAACCAATATTACAATTGTTGTCAATAAACGGAAGCACGGTCACTTGTGGAAGGCACTGGCAGGAAAATTTACCAGACCGCTTGCCTTGAGAGCACGTCCCTCCATTACTACACGGATTACTAGAACATGGGGATATCCTGAAAAGAGACTAATATATTTCCTATTATTACAAAAGTACCCTAAAACTCTCCGTGTTTTTGAACATAATAGAGAAGTCATAGAAAAAAGGGAAGATTTCGCATCGCGCTTTTGAGCTCATGGCGAAAAATCCTGTCTACTCAACAGACCGAAGCGTGAGAAATCGATTGGAAATGAAACTCAAATCTCTTATTATAGACCCTGATTAAGTTCCTTGTTTGTGAAGTTCATTTTCTTTCCTCAGTTCGTCTTGTAACTATAATTATAAATATAATTTTTTTAAGTCCGAATCCGCACTTTTTCATTTTCTAATGTTTACGTGGAAGACGACGCTTTGTCCAGCGCTCGCGTGATACATAGGCTCTGGAGATTCATGCAATTTGAGGTTTGCTCAGTGCAGGTGTTACTGTACTTCGAAAATATATAACTGAAATACAATATTTAAATTATTTTATCTTTATCAGATGACTCCAGAAAAGTAAAAAAGTGATCGTCAACTGCTTGATCGTGGTTAGAGCTATAACAGACCATTTCACCTAGAACTACAAACAATTAAAACGTATCACATACTTCAGAAGTTGTACCATAATAATCATAGCCGAGCCTTTCTTCTGTTTTTCTTTTTTAGTTCGTCTAACGCCCGTGTGATGCAAAAGCTCTGGGGGTCCGTTCAATTTGAGGTTTGCTCAGTACAGGTGTTATTGTACTTCGAAAACATATTATTGAAATACAAAATTCCCCTTTTTTTACTTTATCTGATGCTTGCATTAAAGAAAAAGCGGTTATAAACCTGTTGATCACAGTTAATGTTGTGACAGACTAATAAACCCAGGACTACAAACAAGTAAGACGTATTACATACTTCAGTAGTTGTGCCATAATAATCATAGCCGAGCCTTTCTTCTATCCTTTGCGGCTCAAGGTATCCCTCTGAACTGCTTAATTCGCAGGTATGATAGCCGTTGTCACTATTCCGAGCTATATTGAACGACAAGCAAGCGAATGGTTCGTACTCCAGACAGAGGAAGGAACAGTCAAAATAGTCCTCTACATGTCTTGTCGATGTTGTGTTTCCCACCAGATAACTGTCCACCAGTTTGTAAAATTGTCTGCCTTGCTTAATTGAATGCTGACCAAGACTCAGGAATGGGAATATTCCGAGAAGAAAATTGGGTAAAACGACGATTTTATATCCAAAATGCATCTGGACTATGATGATATTTCGTAGCTTAAGACAGTAATACCTGTTTTAAACGAGCCTAACTTCCTCGATGTAATTAGACTTTCCACCTTTGCGTCAATGAAAGACATTAATAGCTTAATGTTTCCGAAGCAGCGGGAGTTAGATTAGCTCCAGCGGTCAGTCTTTGGTAAATATGCAAAGGTATTGAGTTAAGTAGGTAGGCAGAAATGTAAAATGTGTAGTTTTATTGCCCATCGTAAGAATAACATCTCATTTTTATGCCCCTAGTAATCTGCTGTGTATTGCTGCAAGTAAGTTTACGAAAGAGAAGAGGTTTTCGTTTCTTTAATAGTTTTACTTAGTCAATCATATCGATTGCACCTGTCTCGCCTCACAGAGAATTTAATTTCCAACGGGCAAAGAGGCATCGGCTAATTTCGTGCTCCGTAATTAAGTTGGAAAGAAAAATAATTGAAAATCAGCCGCGCACCTCAAACAGAAATGTATAATGTGTAGTTTTATTGCCCATCGTAAGAATAACGTCTCATTTTTATTGGAAAGAAAAATTATTGAAAATCAGCTGTGCACCTCGAACAGAAATGTAAAATGTGTAGTTTTATTGCCCATCGTAAGAAAAACATCTCATTTTATGTCCCTAGTTATCTACTGTGTATTGCTGCAGGTACATTTACGAAACAGAACAAGTTTTGATTCTTAACTGTTTTTATTTAGTCAAGCATAGATATCGATTGCACCTGTCCTTCGCTCACAGGGAACTTGTTTTCCAAAAAGCATCGAACAGTTAAAAGAGGAATCCGCCAATTTTGTACTTTGTTTTTAATTTGGAAAGAAAAATAATTGAAAACCAACTGTGCTACATCCGCACGCAACCTTCCAAAAGAGGCACACATCACGAATGGTAGAAACAGAATAGATATATTAAGAAAGAAATTCAATGTCTTCATCATAAAAGAATTGTTTTAAGTCTTTTACTTCAGTCGACGATTCATAGTTCATTACTCTCCAGGTACAATTAAGAGCTAATGTCAACATGCATCAGACAAACAGCGGCAAGTCGCCCAAATTCGTTTTTTCTCCGACTTTCATATTTTGTAGCCCAATATGTCCTAACAATTGTGGTGTAGCCTTTTGTTGTGAAAATATACTTTAGTTTTTGAGAAATGAGTTTTTTCGTTCGACCGCTCAAATATGCAAGTTTTAACCCTGAATATTACCCGAGTTGTGTGACCTCATGTAACGATCGGAAATGGGTGAGGATGCTTGTCGTACCTTTCAGGGGTCAAAATCAGTGATCTGGTAGCTTTTACGGCGTCTCAAACTAGTACTTATTAGGGGTAGATATCAGTTGTTGCCACTCCCACACGGATAAGACTCCGGGTACCTTTTATCATTTTATAGGGGTCGTTTTCCCGGCGTGCATCCTCGCCCTCTTATGTATAGGGGTTCCCCGGGGGGTGCTGATACGAGCAGCACACTTGAAATTTAGCAAGGACAAATTTTTATGTGATTTTCGGTGAAGAGAAAAAAGTTTTGGTCAGCGTCTTGTAGCTACTACAGAAGGAATCTTTACCACTGTGTGCTTAATTTCGCGTCCCGCCAGACGGCGGAAGCCTACAAAGTGCTTAGACATTAGTGCAGAAAACTCTGCCTCTGTCTGGATTTTTGGTAGCCTATTGACCAATTCCCAATCGAGGCCTAAGTCTGACGGGACGCGTAATTTTGTACAAGGTGGTAAATAGCCAGGTTGTATGAATTTTCCAGACGTCTTGCGTACTATCTGTAGTACACGCTTGCCAAGTCTCCAAGAGGCTTTTTGAATCGACTTAACCCTACCTTTACCATGGCCATACACTTCTTTAGGCACTCTACATCCTCTACATCTAATAATGGAGCCACGAATCCACCCAACACTGGTATTGAGATTTGATATATGGGTGGGGCAAATTGTAAAACCATCGATATCTTTTGGCGCATCGAAGATGCCGGCTCGCGACAAAATAAGATCAACTTCAGTTTCTGGATCTCCGCAAGTAACTTAAAATGTTTTTTTTACAACTACGCAAAGGAACGACCTGAGATATGAAACGTCGGTCTTCTCAATAACTATAGCCAAAAGTTCCACCAGCGAACGATTTAAATGAACAGCAAATCTCCTTGTTAGCATGTAAGAAGAAACGCTTATACAACAGATCAATTAGCTAAATAGGTATGTAGCTTGTCAATCGAATTGACTTTTGCAAACATTCTTTGACTTCCGCCGGCAAAGGAATCATTGATGGATCTGGACATTTTAGTTTTCTGAATACAGTACTTCTTGGAAGGTTTTTATGGATATGAGAAGAGGGAAAAAAACCCATCTCTTGGTAATTCGGAGGTCGATTCATCTTAATAAAGGAAGAATTTTAGTATTAGACTGGAAAAACAGCAACAGCAACAAAAACAAAAAGACGTTGATGAATTCTGGTAAGGATTGAAAATTTGTTTTCACCATGAACATTAAATTTGTGTTGTTTTAAAGCAGAGAGTTCATGGCACGAGGTGGAGAGTAAAGACGTCATGATGAACACGATATTTTTTTTTTTTTTAGTTATGAATGTTCGTAATTCATTCATAGTTCTTAAGCTTTTAATTTGTGGTGTCTAAATTAGAGGGTCTGTGGCATACAGTGGAGACGAATATGAAAGCGCTCTTCGCAGTAATAAACACCGCTGAAGCTCTTCAACCAGTAGGAATTTGAACCTATTTCCTTTGTGATACCGGTGCAGTGCCGTACCAACTGAGCTAACAGTGTTACTGCGAAGATCGCTTTCATATTCGTTGCTTTGTTCGCAGTTAACATCGATGATTTTCATACTTACAGTCATTTACATACTGATGACGAGATCGAGCTTTCCTTTAAAAATCTATAATTTTTTCCTCACGATTAGCCGTTGGAGGAAAGATTTTAACAGTAGTAAAACCCTTTTCGCATAAAAAATAAAAACACAGACAAAACAAGCAAACAAAACCAAGACTAAATAAGAGAAAATGAAAGAAAGAAAAAAAGCAAAAAAAAAAAAATTCTTCCGCGGAGTTCATTTACATTAATTTTTTTATCGCCAAATAGTCAATAATATTATTTTATAAAATAAGTCAAATGTAATGGTCTTTATTCTTATTTTTTTATAGATACAAATGCCACGGAGCAATATGGATACGTGGAAGGAGTATTTCATGCCAGTGTGGGCAGATATACCTTGACCTTTCACGACGCCCAACGTCTTTGTGCATTGCTCGGGGCAACCTTAGCTACATACGATCAGTTGTACACTGCTTGGGAAGCTGGCCTTCAAAAATGCAGGTACGTACTACTTTATTCTTCTATCATTGTTTTCATTTATGATTCATTCTGTTTCTTTGCTTCTTGGCTGTTTATGTTTGAACTGAAGAATGTTTCAAGTTTTCTCAAAGAATAAGTCGTTTCTTAATTATACTTGTGAAATGTACTTTTTCCCTCAAGTTTGGTTCGAAGCTGGTCTATGTATTCATTTACCTTAATTAACAGCTGGAATACCTTCTATTTTCCTCACCTCGTCCATCTAACATCTCATTTGAATTTTTGAAATTTTATTCTGATTTCTTGTTCTAAGATAATAGGCCATTCTACTAAGGAAACAGAAGCGGCACTTGACTCGTCCAATTTGTCAAAGTACGCAGTTGTTTTGGTGCCACGGCTGTCAGATGACATACCCTTTCGTGCATTCATTTGTCGGTCATCTTCTGGTGAAATCATGTCGTTCTAATTGCTAACTGGATGGATGAACAATAATTTTTTTTCACAGCGAAACGTTATTGGCGACGCTCATATTCAGTACGAGTATAATTCGGTCTTATTTCCTGTAAATTTTAGGACCTATAAAATACATCAAATCGATCAACAGATCATTTTATTTATTCATTTTTCTACTTTTTTTCAAATTTATCCATTTACTTATCTATCTACTCAATCATCCCAATCTATTTTCCAGTTGTTAGTCGCTGCATCTTTCTCGTGCTAGTTTATATCCATTCATTTTTAGTCACTCGTTTCTTCTTCAGGTACGGTTGGCTAGCTGATGCCACTGCTCGCTATCCAATGCAAACAAGGTTACCTGGTTGTGGAAATTATATTGGCGTTTGTGGAAGTTCCCATCCTCAACCTAAATGGCACAGATATAATACTTGGTGTTATAAATAGAGAAAGATAAGAAACGAGAAGGACGATTTGATACCAAATGTTTCTTTTCAGTAAGAAACTTAATTATACTGCTCTTCACATTATTACAACTGTTCACATCGTTCACTTCCACTTTCGTCTTCTGTTCTTTTTTTTTATTTTTCAAAAAAAAAAGAAAGCATGTCATCTTTCTTTGCTTTTTGGTTTTTTTTTTCAGTTTCTTTTTTGGCTGGAAAAAAAGAGCAAATGTGAAAAATGGGACAATTTTAGCTTGATTTTCAATAAGAATAAGTACACTGAAGTTAATTTTCTAATCTTTTTAAGCTAAGTAGGCATAGAGGCTCTCATCTTGTGTATCATATCTATGCAAAAGCTATTCTATGGTATATTAATAATTACAGCAGAGCAGGTGGTTAAAAATAAGCCACGAATTAAAAGAAAAGAGCGCTTTCCACTCTCAGCCTTTTTCTGGCGGCTCCTTTCATTGCCAGATTCCGCTTTGCAAAATTGATTTTTCACGCGATTCATTGCTAGTGTCTATGTACATTTCCGGCTACGTTCAGTTTCTTTATTTCGAGGGTTTGAAAAATTAGGTAGACAATTAAAGTACAGAGTATCTTGCTATGATAAAAACGAACCTTTATACCGTAACGAAAAAGGCTCATTGGATGCCTAATACTAATTCAAAAGAAAGGCCAAATGGTGAAGCACGTGCTCTTAGAAAAGACACTCATCGTTAGTAAACTCATTGCGGTGGCTAAAAACCAAAAAACTAAGGATTGCAAATTCAAATAGTGACTTAATGGGATGTATTTCCGTCTTTACTAAATAAATACTTCATGATGCTTTTGGTGGTTTATTTGCGTTTTCGAGTAAGCTCAATTCAAAATCTCTTTATTATTTTTCTAAAGAAACTCTAATTATCATCTCGTGCGCAAAAGCTCTTGAGTTTGCTATAATTTCATGTGTCTTAAATTAGACCGATTTTTATGAGGTTTCAATGGTGGTAACAATTAGCCGTTAAAGGGAAAAAAAATTGGCCATCAATTTTTTTTTATCCTAACGGAAAGGGATTAACCCTTAGCAATAAAGGCTCTCTCTCCTCGGAGACCCTCTGATGAAACTGAAAAAGAAGACGTTTAAGACAATTGCCAACGTTAAGGAAACCACTGTAGAGCAGATTATTACTCGGTAACAGCAGTTGTTAATTTATACGATTAATACAAACATCGGCAAATGTAGATTAAACGACGCGTGGAGAACCGAAAAAGCTAAAGTGTTAACTATCTTTCGGCGGTTATCTGTGAGTTCATGTAGGATTCTGTGACAGTTGCTGATTGAAAAGAAAGCTTCACACTAACCTCGAAGAAAAAAAGAAAAAAAAATCGTAGGCATCCTGAGTCGTTTGAAGGCTAATTTGTTACCGACCGCAAAATACGGAGTCAAAATATATAATTTTTAACTCTCCATTACAGGAGGTTAAAAAGAACATTTCCTAAAGTTATACACATATCGCCTTCATTCGTCTTCCCTTTGCAACCATAATGTTGAGATATATCATCTTTACGATCGGGCTCATTCGGATATCGTCCATCCACGGTGACAGGCGACATTTGATGCATGAAAGAATATATTACAAACTGGAAGGCAAGTCCCTGATAGGAAATGTAACGGAGATTAGAAAAGTAAGGGACTTCTTTGATTGTTCGTTCGTTTGCATGGGGAAGGGCATCCCTGCCTGCCTATCTTTTAACATTGGTAGATCCGCTGATGACAACGGTTACTATGTGTGTGAGATGAGCAACTCAGAAAGGTACATGGACCCTGAAAGAATGCAAGACCGCATTAGTTTTGATTACTATGGCACAACTACTGAGGTGAGTTACGTTCTTTTCATTTTAATAAAAAGAAGTGAAACTGGATAAATTTGCTTTCTTCAAATTTCGTTTTTCTCTTCGAGAAAAACTCGAAAGAGTCGGTAAATAATTCGCGCACGACTCGTAGCTTACAACCTTTTTCGTGCTTTCCCATCATCGCGCGTGGGTAATTACGCTGGTAAACCCTACCGATAGAAAGTGCGATCTATTGTATAAGTATTTCAACTCAAAGTTAAATTATTGTTTATTCAAGCTACACGCGAGTGAATTTCTTTTACTATTTTTGCTAAAAAGAAAAAAAAAAAAGGGGTGAAAACATGAAATTAAAAAAGCTTAAATAAGTTAAACTTACAGCTGTCACATGTCTAAATTTTTTTAGGAAAATACACATATATATATTTGACTTCAAAATTTTATCTTACACAATTTTGTAATCTTATACGACCTTTTCTCGAAGAAGTAAACGGAAATGTTTTTGATTCTTCACTGCAGATGCTTTACAGCCTTCTGCCAACATGTGACAGTATTACTTGTAATCATGGAGGAAAGTGCACTCAAGGTCAGCGGTTGGGTAAAATTACGTGTCAGTGCCTTCCTGAAGTTACTGTGTTGCCATTCATTGACGATAAGTGTAATGTTGGTAAGCATGATTTTGATCATTAAGGAATATTTTTTCATTACGGTTTGAGACTAGAAGCACCAGATTAGTAAGTACAGACGTTTTCGATTAGTAAGAAAAGACGTTTTCGATTAATTCTGGAGAGAATCGAAAATTGGTTTGCGGTGCTAAAATCAGCAGAGGGTTCATGGCACAATTTTGAATCCCAACAAATATTGATGTTACTGTATCTCTTTCCTTAGATATGAATGCGATGACGCAGCTGGGGGCCGTGAGGGGAGTTTTTCAAGCTCAAGTGGGCATATATTCCTTGACCTTTAATGACGCCCAACGTCTTTGTGCACTGCTTGGGGCAACCTTAGCTACATACGATCAGTTATACACTGCTTGGGAAGCTGGCCTTCAAAGATGCAGGTACGGTCTACTTCATTCTTCCATTGTTGTTTTTATTATTACTATTATTATTTTTTATTTATTCATAATTTTTTTTTTTTGCATTATTGCTACATACTTTCTCTGTCATACTTTCACTGTATGTTTCTTGAGCCATAAAGGAAAGACATTTTGCAGATTGGATAGGTTACAGATGCTGAGGTAGATTTACAGGCTTATATTTGGCTATACCCCATTTATATAGAAAAATTTAATTGGGAAGTTGGAACATTCTCTGTAACTTCCTTACATAAGGGGCGGTTGATCAACCTAGTGAGCTTTTAAGAAAACCCAATATCTCCCTCTTAGTGGAGAAAAATGTTAACTAGCAAGTGATAGGGAACTAATCACGTCACTTGAAATATAAAAGAAATCTAGAAGGACGAGAGAGAACTCTTGAATATAGATTACTTCATAAAGCACGTGCGATTTTTATTCACGAGACAGTTGAGTTAACAATCAGTAGAGGTTTAATAATCCCTTTCTAATTAGAAGGCGTAAGAGGAGTGTTATTATTTTTGAAACCTCAGCTAATTATCTGCAAAACTTGAGAAAAGACCAACCTAGTTAAAAATGCAGTGTTATCTCTGTGTTCGCTCAGTTGCAGTTCAATACAAGCGTCGCTATCATTTATACCCAATTACTAGTTTAATGTGGCTTCGGAACTGGGCGACTCCGGGCCGAGTGCGTAATTACGACAGCTAGCTTTGAGTACATGAGCGAGTTGGTGAGTTTACTATCTTGTTTCTTCTTCAGGTACGGTTGGCTAGCTGATGCCACCCTTCGCTACCCAATGCAAACGGTCCAACCTAATTGTGGAAGTCTTATCGGTATTATTGGATCGTCTACTCCTCAACATAATAAGTCCAAAACATCTAACGCTTGGTGTTATAAATAGAGGAAGATGAGAGGCGTGAAGAACGATCTAAGACCGACGTATGATATCCTACATCGTATGAAATATTTTTCGTCTTTTTTTTTTTTTTCAATTTCCTATTTGGGTGGTAAAACAGAGCAAATGTGAAACTAATGGAACGATTTTAGATTGATTTTCAATACAATGAACTTGATTTTGCAATCTTTTAAACCATGGGATACAGGTTCTTGTCTTGTGCAACATATTCTTGCATCAAAAGCAATTTGAAGATTATAGAAGAGCAGGTGGGTCAAAATTTGGCCACGAACTAAAATAAAAATTGCGCTTCCGTTTTTATTTATGGCGGCTCCTTTCATTTGCAGATTCCGCTTTGCAAAATTGATATATCACTAGTCCAGATGCATTTCAAGTATTAGATAGACAAATAAAACACAGAGTGTCTTGCCATAATGGAAACCTTTATAACGTAACGAAAAAGGCTTAATTAGAGGGTAAACAAAGCACGTCCCCTTAGACAAGACAGTCATACTAAAAAAAAAAACTAATTGCGATAGCTTAAACCAAATAACTTAGGACTACAGATTCAAATAGTACTTAATACAATGTATGGACAAATTGCTAATTCCTTCTTAACTAAATAAATACTTCAGGTACTATTAGTGGTTTATTTACGTTTTTCAAGTAGCCTCAACTCAAAATATCTTTAATATTCTTTAACAGAAACTCTAACCGTCATCTCGTGCGCAAAAAAGGACTTGAGGTGTCTATAGTTTCAACTAGAAACCGGAGGCCCTGTCTTCCGACAAAAACAAATACATGTAGAGCCGCTGAGTGAAACGATAAGGCAGTTGTTTTTTTAGCCGGAAAGGGAATGGCTACGACAAAACCTCCTCCGCGGTCACAAATATGAGCTGATATTTGCTGCACTCTGTATTTTCCAAAGGAAAATCCTTGAGTATAGCCGCCGTTAATCTATTTAACAATTCTTCCTTTTTCTTTCATTTGATCGTAAACGATACTTTGAAGTAGCAAACAACTGCACTTAAAGGTTTACCCGCCTCAATTTGTTTGATGCAAACCTGCACACTCTGGTGAAACGGTGTGGCTGTTTTTGCATCTAGGAAAAAAATAGCTTCACTAAAACGTTCGTGTGCGTTAGCTACCGTTAATCCGATCGATGATGTTTAATCCATTTGATCATAAAGAATAAGTTGAAGCAGACAAACGACAACTCCGCTCGAAGGTTTCCCGTCCTAATATCTTTCATAAGAACCAACACCTAAAATATCAGGGTTTTCCAAAATTTCCAGAAACCAGTGTAGAAATTTTTCCTTTTTGTTCCGATTTTAATGCGCGAGACATATCAATTTCCGAAAGACACTTAAGTGCCTCCTAAAGAGCGGAATCGAAACTAATAACTTGCCATCTTTCTCTTTCTCTCGCGAGAGCGAAATGTCAGAATGACGCTCAAATGATAAATTTGGCTTGTGGTTGACAGCTGGAGCTTAACCGAACCGATCAGGAACTTCTTTGGTTGGCGAACGGAGTTTTGCAAAATAACATTGACTTTAGGCAAGGTTGTGCCTAAATCCTACCGACAAGAGGTACACCTGAGGAGCAGTAGTGACGATTTTTTCGGAAATTGTCGGCTACTATATCGGCGGACTATTTCAGTTTTACCAACAATCAAGCGACGAGATTATACCCGACGTGAACATTTATTACATGGTTTACGTGTAAAGAATACATTGTTAAGTTTAAATCAAGGTAATTTCTCTCAGTTTTGTCTGGCTGTTTCCTTCACCCTCGTCGATCTAAAGTTTCTTGTTTTATAGCATAGTTTTAGCTTAACACTGTAGCCGCTTAACACTTAGCTTAAGACCTACGCTTGCAAAGGTAAACAAAATCTATGAATAATATCGCCACTATAATGCCTTTGTTATAGTGCTACTAGTTAGAAAGATCCCCTAGATGAGATTTCTATTGTTTTGTACCTCTAGCCGGAGGATCTCGGGAGGCTTAAAAAATACTACCGGCTAGAGGTACAGCTTGCATATTTAGTCAACTTTGCACAATTGTTGCTACGGTTTGCTTCACATTTTACTTTTTCTGCACACCAAATTAGTCTTACACTCCTTTGAGTCATTTTTTTTTCCAGAATACGTTCCTACTTGTTTATTTCTTTAGTCTTACACTCCTTTGAATCGCTTTCTTCGTACCTCTAGCTTGTAGGATCTTAGGAGGCTCAGAAAATACCAGAGGTACAGCTTGCGTTTTCAATCGACTTTATTTACGTTTTAAAGTAGCCTCAACTCAAAATATCTGTATTATTCTTTTAAAGAATCTCTAATCTCGTGCGCATAAAGACTTGAGGTTGCTATAGTTTCATCTGTCTTAAATGAGTCTGATTTTTTTATGAGGTTTCAATGGTGTCAGTAATTAGCCGTAAAAGGGAAAAAATTAGCCATCAGGCGTCGGAACTGACAAATCATAACCGTTAGTCGTGAAAAAGTTAACCGTATATTTTTTTTGTCGTAACCGAAAGGGGTTAACCGTTAGCAATGAAAGCTATCACTCCATCGAGACCCTCTGTAATGAAACTGAAAAAGACGACGCTAAAGACAATTATTAATGTTTAATAAACTACTGTATGGCAGAGTATTAATCGATAACAGCAGCTGTTCATTCACACGATTAATAAAAAAACAGCGGATGTAGTTTAAACAATGCATGGAGAACCGAAAAAGCTGAAGTGTTAATTGTTTTCGCTGGTTATGTGTGGGTTTAAGTTTCTAAGACAGTTGCTAATTCAAAACGAAAGCGACAAAGAAAGCTTCACGCTGACCTTAACAAAAAATAATTAAAAACAAAAAACAAAAACAAGAAGAAACCAAAGAAAGAAAAACACAATCGTAGGCATCTTGAGTTGTTTGAAGACTAATTTTTTGGCGACCGCAAAATACGGAATCAAGATATATAAATTTCTAACCTCCATTATAGGAAGTTAAAGTTAAAGATCCTGTGACAAAGATGCGAGAAGGATGTCAAATTGTGCCGACCTTCGTGATAACTGAGAGCATTTTCTAAAATTATACACACATCGCTTACATTTTTCTTCTCGTGGCAACGACAATGTCAAAATATTTTTTCATCAAGTCGATCATTTTTATGACCGAGCTCATCTGGAAATCGTCCGTCCATGGTGCCAAGCGACATTTGATGGATGAAAGAATATATTACAAATTGGAAGGCAAGTCCCTGATTGGAAATGTAACAGAGGTTAGAAAAGTGAGGGACTTCTTTGACTGTTCGTTCGTTTGCATGAAGAAAGGCGTCCCTGCCTGTTTGTCCTTTAATATCGGTAGAGTCACTGATGACGACGGCGACTATGTGTGTGAGTTAAGCAACTCCGAAAGGTACATGGAACCTGAAAGAATGCAAGAACGGATAAGTTTTGATTACTATGGCATAACTACCGTGGTAAGTTAAGTTGTTTTCATTTTATTAAAAAGAGGGTGTAACTGGATGAAGTTGTTTTCTTCAAATTTCGTTTTTCCTTTCGATAAAAACTCGAAAAAGTTTGCAAAGAACTCACGCTCGGCTGATGTATAAATGTTTCATCTGCGAGTCAAAATACTACTTATTCCAGCTAAGTGTAGAGGTTAATGCGGACACCACGCGCGAGTGATTTTTTTTTTACTTATTTTGCCAAAAAGAGCAAAGTGAAAACATGAAAATGAAAAAGCTTAAATGGGTTAAACTTACAGCTGTTACATGACAACAATTTTTTAGAAAAATTCACATTTGACCTGAAAATCTTTTTTTGCACAATTTTGGGATCTTGAACGGCCTATTCTCGAAAAGGTAAACGGAAACGTCATTATTTCTTTTCTGTAGATGCTTTACAGCCTTCTGCCAACATGTGACCTTATAGCTTGTAATCATGGAGGAAATTGCATTCAAGGTCAGCGGTTGGGTAAAATTACGTGTCAATGCCTTCCTGAAGTTACTGTGTTGCCATTCATTGACGATAAGTGTAATGTTGGTAAGCATAACTTTGATCATTAAGGAAGATTTTTCCACTATAGTTTGAGGCTAGAAGTACCAGATTAGTAGGAAAAGACGTTTTCGAATAATTCTGAAGAGAATCGAAAATTGGTCTGCGGTGCTAAAATTTGCAGAGAATTAATGGCGCAATTTTGAATCCTAACAAAAATTTATGTTACTGTCTCTCTTTCCAAAGATACGAATGCCATGACGCAGCTCGAGGCCGTGAAAGGCGTTTTTCATGCCCAAGTGGGCAGATATACCTTGACATTTTACGACGCCCAACGTCTCTGTGCACTACTCGGGGCAACCTTGGCTACACACGACCAGTTATACACTGCCTGGGAAGCTGGCCTCCAAAAATGCGCGTGAGTAGTACTTTATTCCTCTGTGTTTGCGACTTACTTGTCGTCTCCATCATACATTTGCTCTAAGGTGTCCAGATCTATAAAGGAAGTAATTTTTTTCGAACTGCTTAGAGTAAGGTAGCATGTTATCCACTCAGCACATTGGCAAACGCACACCAGAGCTGATAATTTTTTGATAACGCAAAACTATTCTTTAGAGACACAGACTCGCTGACATATGAAATTGAAACTGAGGATGTTTATCAGGATTTTTGGAATGATAAGGATAAATTTGACAATAGCGACTATCCTGAAAATTATCCATATTCTGATAAAACAAACAAAAAAAGTTATAGGGAAGCTCAAAGATGAGACTTCTAGTATGGCAATTACTCATGATCAATTCGTCAGATTAAGATAAAAAATGTACTCCCATAAAAAAGGTAACGACAAAAGTGAAAGAACAGCTAAAGGGATGAAAAAAAAAAGTCATAAAGACGTCAAACATGAAGGCCTAAAAAATGTATCATTCAACAACAAACGAGTGCATCGTAAATGAAAACCATCAAGAGCAACAATCATCAACTTGGAGTTTGAGATCAACAAGGAATCAGCGTCCTGCTTTGATGATAAACGCTACATCCATGACAATAATATAACAAGCTATGCATACGGCCATTAAAAATAAGAAAAACCCAAGTGTTACGCTGCACCTGTGGCGAAATCACAAGTGTCATAAGCACAGTCCAAGAGACTGGAACAAAGAATTCCAATTCAGCTAAGCCCAAAACAAACTTAATATTGTAATCCTTTTACATTTTTTTCTTCCTGACTGTTGGTTGGTGAAGGTATCTAAACTTTCTAGGTAAATTTAATTCAAAAAGTAGCCCAAAAATTTTTAAATACAATCCCCTCTTCTATCACATGATAACCTTAAGACTGATATCCTCGGGAAAGTCCCTGTTGTATTACATCATAGATTTCCTGCGTTTCTGAGAGTATCAAAATGGAAAATTGCTGTGAGATCATATCACAAGTCTCCTATAGTATTCCAGTGCTTTGATATTGTAAAATGATATTACCAAATGATTCCATGAAATAATTCCATAAGATGATTTTGTTAAATAATCTCCATAATATGGAAAAGTCTATCACTATGTGATCTCGTACTGTCAACTCCTATTTTACTCATATCCTTTGGTACGTCCATTTGTTGCTCACCTTCTGGTGAAATTCCCATCGTTAACTGGACGGATGAACAATTATTTTTCACAGCAAAACGTTATGGTTTGTACTCGTGATTGGCTATTCCGCAGGAGTATTATTCAGTCTTAATCCTTTCAGCACCTATGAAATGTATGAAATCGATTAACCGGTCATTTCATTTATTCATTTTTACCATTTTTATTTTAAATTTATCCATTTATTTATCTACCTACTAAATCATCAAATTTATTTTTCTAGTTGTTAGTTGCCGCATCTTCTGCGTGTTAGTTTACATCCTTGGACAATTAAATTCATTTATGGTCACTCGTTTCTTCTTCAGGTACGGTTGGTTAGCTGATACCACTCGTCGCTACCCAATGCAAACGAGCAAACCTGGTTGTCGAGGTCGTATCGGTATTATTGGATCGCCCACTCCTCAAGATAAGTCCACAACATCTAATGCTTGGTGTTATAAATAGAGGAAGATATGGGCCGTGAAGAACGACTTAAGACCGAGATATGATATCCTATATCATTTAAATATTTTCCTTTGCTTTTAATTTCTTATTTAGGTGGTAAAACAGAGCAAATGTAAAACTGATGGACCAATTTTAGCTTGACTTTAAATAAGAATAAGTACTCGATACACTGAAATTAATTTTGCAACCTTTTTAGCCAAGGGATACAGGTTCTCATCTTGTGTAACATATCCATGCACCAAAAGCTATTCTATGGACCATAGTCCAGATGCAGTTGAATATACGAAGGTTTCAAATATTAGATAGACAAATAAAATACGGAGTATCTTGCCATAATGAAAGCTTTATATCATAACGAAAAAGGCCTACTGGATGCCTAATACTAATTTGAAAGTAAAGTCAGAAGCACGTCCTCTAAGACAAGACAGTCATAGTAAGAAAACTCATTACGATAGCTTAAACCGAATAACTTAGGACTACAAAATTAATTCAAATAGTGACTTAATGCAATGTATGGACAAATTACTAATTCCTTCTTAACTTAATAAATACTTCATGTTACTATTGGCGGTTTATTTACGTTTTTCAAGTAGCCTCAACTCAAAAGATCTTTATTATTCTTCTACAGAAACTCTAATCATCATTTCGTGCACAGAAAGGACTAGTGGTTGTTATAGTTTCAATTAAAAACCGGAAGCACTGTCTTCCAACAAAAACAAATGCCTGTAAGGCCGATGAGTGAAACGGTAAGGCAGTTGTTTTTTAAGCCAGGAAGGAAATGGCTTTGACAAAACCTCCTCCGCTTTGTTTGCTGCACTCTATATTTTCCACAGGAGAGAGACTAAAATAAAAATCTGTCTTTTTTTTCTTCTATTTGATCGTAAGCAATACTTTGAATCAAAGATTAACCCGCCACAATTTGCTTGATGCAAAGTAGCATACTCTGATGAAATGGTGTGGCTGTTTTTTGCATCAGGGGAACAAATGGCTTCATCAAAACCTTCTCTGCTGACGCAAATACAAGTTGATAGTTGCCGCACTCTATATCCTTCAAATGACAATCCGTGAGCGTAAGCTACCAGCTAAGATCTTCCAAAGTGAAGTTTACATAAAAAATACACAGATCTACTGTATTCACTACTCCATACTATCGCGCAATTTCGCCCGGCAGTTAAAAATTTAAAACAAATATTGATGGAACATCGTAGTCTGATAGACAATCAGCCCTTGCAGAAAACAATTTTTACAACACCTCCCATCATTTCTTACAAAAAGGGAAAATTCTTTAAAAACATGCTTGTAAGAGCAAAAATATGATTTGAAGGCGATAATGCGACGCGACCACAAAAGCCACCTAAAAGCCTCCTTAAAGGTCGACACACACAAGGGGACTAGTCCCAGCATCTGCCTGCATCTAGACCCCAGAAGAGTTTGCACGAAGGGACTGGTCGCAGAGACTAGTCCCTAGTAGTTTTTACACGCAGGGACCAATTGCGTGGAAAGTAGCAAAAACCGGGGTCCAATGGTATCATTCTTTCACTCTGCAGCTTTCTTAAGACAACAAAATTATTAAAACAGCAGTGTAGCATTGAAATAAATAAGCTTAGAGCAAACCGCAGATTGTTCAGCGAAATTATTCAGTGCTTGAATTGTTTCTAATTCAGTTTGGAATCGAGCGTAAAATAACGCTTTGTTACCGATCAGATGTGGCCAAGACAGAAACTGTAAAAGTCGAAAAGCAGTCTGGTGGAAAAGACGTTCCAAGCATCGTGTTCCTCGTGATCCGCCATCTTGAAACAGAGTTCGTAAGGAGTTGTGGGAGTTTGTCATACCGATCTGTGATTGGTTTATTTTAATTTGGTCGCAAGGATTTGTTCCACGAACAGTCCACACGAAGTGTTTTGAAGAACAAGTTACAGGGACTTTTTCAAACCAGTTTGAATTCGTGGGACTAGTCGTAGGGACCAAATTTTAGGCCCTGCGACTAGGAACTTTGTGGAAAAAACGGCTAGTTCACACGATGGGACTTGTGGCTGGGACTTGTGGCTGGGACTAGTTGCAGGGACTAGTCCCCTCGCGTGTGCCGACCTTTACAGAAACTCTAACCATCATCTCGTCGCAAAAAGACTCGATATTGCTATAATTTCATCTGTTTTAAATTAGACTGCTTTTTATGAGATTTCAATGGTCGTAACAGTTAGCCGTAAAAGGGCATATAAAATTAGCCATCAGGCGTCAAAATTGACAAATTCTAACCTATAGTCGTAAAAATGTTAACCGTATTTTTTTTAATATTCTTATGAGCCCCTTCTACAGCAGACATGGCCGCCAGTCGTATTCGACCACGTGACTTAGTTTTGTCCCGATAGTAAAGTGCAAAAACGACCGCTTTAGTGAAAACACCACGCCCGTGCTTGCCCTCGTGGAGTAGATTATCATTCAGCTTGCTTTCTTTACAATCCACACCCACAGAAGTAGTCCGCCTAAAGAAAAATCCTATGAGTGAAAAAATTCGAGGTAAAGTAAGGGAAATATTTCGGTAATAGCAGATAGTATAAGCGCTCATTTTTGCGGTACGGGCTGAAGGAAGAGAAATCCACTAAGTGCCCAGCTCCTCAATTCGAAGCATGGAAACTAGTTGGCGGCGCAAAGGGTACTGGGAGAGTTAAAATGGCGGATTATCAGTTTATAGAATTTCGTTGTGACTCGTCAGTTTCTGGACAGTTGAAAATTTTGTGGAAAATTTATTGTTAGTTTTATGTAAATCGTATCTTTTTTCTCAAATTCAAAATTCGTATCACTTTGTATATTCTTGATAGGTTATTTTGATGTTTGGGCATGGAACCCATGATGTTTTCCTGGCTATTTATTCACTAGCTTTGACTGTATAATTTAACAATAACTGTTGTGGTAGTTCTGTCTAACCCTAGGCTAAATTGGTTTGAAATCTAGATATTTTAGACCATGGTGACTTATGAGCATACCAAAGTAACCAAAATGACTGTTGTGCTTACTGGAAGGGATTCTGTAGATATTTTTAAAGTTTATGGAGAGACCGTTGCTAACTTTGGTTTATCACTTCATTCAAATAAAATCAATTTAAGTCAACTTAATTCGCCATAGGTCGCCTTGAATCGCCTAAGATTTCAATGCCTTCTCTGCCAATTTAGCTTAAGTCGCTTCAAGTCGCCTTAGTCGCCTTAAATCGCCTTAAGTCGTCTTAAGTCGGCAAAAATCGCCCAAAGTTACGGCGACTTAAGGTCCCAGAGTAGACCTCTCTAAGTGTAGAATCGCAAGCGATAGGGAACCGAACACATTACTTAAGAGATCCAGAACGACGAGTTTTTATCTAAGAAAATAACTCTTAAACATTGATTACTTCATAGAGCACGTGCGATTTTTGAGTTAACAATCAATAGCGGTTTAATATTTTATTTTTTCTTGGAAGACGAGGGAGGAGTGTTGTCAGTATTGAAACCTCAGTTACTTCTCACAGTTACTTCTCTGTTTGCCCAGTTGCAGTTCAATACAAGCATCGCTATCGTTTGTAGCCAATTACAATTTCAACGTGGCTTCGGACCTGGGCGACTCCAGGCCGAGTACGTAATTACGACAGCTAGCTTTGAGTGAGCAAGCGAGTTGTTGAGTGTGTTAAGGATGTGTTTCAACGAGGGAGTGAATGAATGACATATATGTATATTGAAACCCTCATAAAAAAAAAAACGGTTCGACACTTCGCGTAACCACGAGTTAATTTGAATATTATTTATAAAATCGCTCCATAACTTAATTCATAATCAAGCATTTATACCACTTAATATATTCCAGAAAATTCGGGGTCTTAGTAATCCAGATAGTCAAAAGTCGAGGTGCTGTTCAGCCCGAACATATTTTATAGTACCTGGTGACTAAAGATACCCAGAAAACCTTTCTCGTACAATTCAACGTTTTTTCATTCTTCACTTAGCAAAGCTACCGACGCTTTGAGGTTTTCCTGTTTCCTTGCTTCTTGTCTGTTTCTCTTTGAACAAAAGAATGTTTCGAGTTTTCTCAAAGAACAAGTCGTTCCTTAGTTAAACTTGCGAAATGGAAATTTTCCCTTAAGTTTCGTTCGAAGCTGGTCTATGTATTCATTTACCTTAATTAACAGCCGGAATACCTTCTATTTTCTCCGCATCGTCCTTCGTTTTGAAAAAAATTGCAAATAATCTTACATTTGGTTTAAATTTTTGAGGTTTTATTTTGTTTTCTTGTTCTAAAATAATGAGCCCTTCAACCAAGGAAACAGAAGCAGCACTTGACTCGTCTAATTTAATGCTTGGGGCCACAAAATAGAGAAAGATAAGAGACAAGAAGGACGATTTGATACCAAAAAATGTTTTTTATTTTTTCGGGTTTCTTTTTATGATTGAATCTTACCAAGAACTTTGAGTAGTAAATGTGTTAGTCAAAACTGAAAGTGGAGCTTCAGTGAGTGACTTACGTGTACTGCATGGCCTTCACACTATTACAATAGTTCACACCATTCACTTCCACTCTCAAACCGTTCACTTGCCCAATCAATGCCTAATACTAATTCGAAAGAAAGGTCAGAAGGTAAACAGAGCATGTCCTCTTAGACAAGACAGTCATCGTTAGAAAACTCATTGCGACAGCTAAAACGAAATAACTTAGGACTACAAATTCAAATAGTTACTTGATGCAACGCGATGACAAACTGCTAATCCCGTCTTAAATAAATAAATAATTAATGATGCTATTGATGATTTGTTTACGTTTTCAATTAGCCTTAACTCAAAATATCCTTATTATTCTTTCACAGGAACTCTAATCATCATCTCGAGCGCAAAGAGACTTGAGGTTGCTATAGTTTTATCTCTCTTAATTTAGACTGATTTTTAACAGGTTTCAGAGGTGTTAACAATTAGCCGTAAAAGGAAAGACTAGCCACAGGCGTCAAAGTTTACAAATTCTAACCGTTAGTCGTAAAAGGTTAACAGTGTTTTGTTTTGTTTTGTTTTTTTAATTTTATTTTATCGTACCGGAAAGGGGTTAACCATTAGACATATAAGCTATCAATCCAACGAGACCCTCTGTAATAAAACTGAAAAAGACTTTAAGACATTGGTAATGTTAAGTAAACCACTGTACAGCAGTTAAGTACTCGAAACAGCAGCTGTTCATTCTCACAATTAATACAAATACCAGCAAATGTAGTTCAAACGATGCATAGAGAACCGAGAAAACTAAAGTGTTAATTACCGTTCGATGTTTATCTGTGAGTTCATGTAAGTTTCTGTGACAGGTGCTGATTCAAAAAGAAAGCTTCACACTAATCTCAAATTTAAAAAAGGGAAAGAAAAAATAGTCGTAGGCATTTTGACTTGCTTGAAGGCTAATTTTTTGGCGACCGCAAAATATGAAGATGTGAGAAGGATGTCAAATTGTGGCCGGCATTTTCTTAAATTATACACACATCGCTTACATTCTTCTTCCCTTTCCAACGACAATGTTCAAATATTTTTTCATCAAGTGGATCATTTTTATGATCGGGCTCATCTGGAAATCATCCGTCTATGGTGCCGGGCGACATTTGATGGATGAAAGAATATTTTACAAACTGGAAGGCAAGTCCCTGATAGGAAATGTAACAGAGGTTAGAAAAGTAAGGGACTTCTTTGATTGTTCGATCATTTGCATGGAGAAAGGCGTCCCTGCCTGTCTGTCCTTTAATATTGGTAGAGTCACTGATGACAACGGTTATTGTCAGTGTGAGTTGAGCAACTCAGAAAGGTACATGGAACCTGAAAGAATGCAAGCACGCATAAATTTTGATTACTATGGCACAACCACTGAGGTGAGTCAATTTCTTTTCTTTTTGTTAGAAAGGAGGTGAAACCGGTTAAAGTTGTTTTCTTCAAATTACATTTTTCTCTTCGATATCAACTCGAAAACGTTTGCAAATAGCACGCGCTCGGCTAACGATTTACAACTTTTTTCGTGTTTTCCCAACAACGCGTGGGTAATTACGCTGGTAAACCCTACCGAAAGAAAATGCGGTCTATTGTATGGATATTTCATTTGCAAGTCAAAATACTACTTATTCAAGCTGAGTGTGAAAGATCATGCCCGCAAGTGAATATTTTTTACTCTTTTTGCTAAAAAAAAGCAAGGTGAAAATACGAAAATGAAAAAGTTTATATGGGTTAAACTTACAGCTGTTACATGCCCACATTTTTTTTAGGAAAATGCACATATATCTAGGTAAACTGAATTTTTTGGCACAATTTTGTAATCTTATGTAGCCTCTTCTCAAAGAAGTAAACGGATTTTTGATTCTCCACTGTAGATGCTTTACCGCCTTCTGCCAACGTGTGACAGCGTTACTTGTAATCATGGAGGAAAGTGCACTCAAGGTCAGCGGTTGGGTAAAATTACGTGTCAGTGCCTTCCTGAAGTTACTGTGTTGCCATTCATTGACGATAAGTGTAATGTTGGTAAGCATAACTTTGATCATTAAGGAAGATTTTTCCACTATAGTTTGAGGCTAGAAGTACCAGATTAGTAGGAAAAGACGTTTTCGAATAATTCTGAAGAGCATCGAAAATTGGTCTGCGGTGCTAAAATCAGCAGGGGATAAATGGCGCAATTTTGAATCCTAACAAATATTTATGTTGCTGTATCTCTTTCCAAAGATACGAATGCCATGACGCAGCTCGAGGCCGTGAAAGGCGTTTTTCATGCCCAAGTGGGCAGATATACCTTGACATTTTACGACGCCCAACGTCTCTGTGCACTGCTCGGGGCAACCTTAGCTACATACAACCAGTTATACACTGCCTGGGAAGCTGGCCTTCAAAAGTGCTCGTGAGTGGTACTTTATTCATTAGTGCTTGCGACTTATTTGCCGTCTCCAACATACCTTTGCTCTAAGGTGCCCTAATCTATAAAGGAAATATTTTTTTCGTACTGCCTAGAGTAGAGTAGCATGTGATCCACTCAGCAGGCTCGCGAACGCACACCAGAGCAGACTAATCCAGAAAAATCAAATCCTGGGGTCAAGATTAACAATTTAATCTTTTGCTACATTTTATACGGAAAGAAAAATTTAAGACAAGAGTTCAACCTTCAATACCTCTTTTAAGCTACTTACGTTGGAGTCGCTGGCGGGCCAACCTTCTCGAGGTTGGTATTAAGTTCTTTATCATCCTAGCATACCATATCCGGACTGAATCCCTTTTCTTAAACACAGGTTGCGCAAATTTAAACAAGTCCTCGTGCTTTTCTTATTTTTTGCACTTGTCCGTCTTCCCTAAGCTTTTGCACCTCTTTCGCGTCACAATTGGGAAATTTTCCTGCCGTTTTTTAAATATAATTTCGGTTACCATGGAAACTGTAGTTTTAAAATGTTGATATTTGATATTGATATTGAGTTTGGTATTAGATACTACTGGTCTGAGCCGGTCGCTTTTTTTTCTTTTTTTTTTTAATTCCTTGGCTTGTTGTATAATGCCTGTACTTAGGAAAATTATGAAGATAGTTATTTGTGAGAAATGATAGGAATGCCTCGCTCAGAATTATTTGCTTTCCAAGCATCAATTCGGGTCAGAAGACTGCACTCAAGTGCTTCAGCTCTTTTGGACAGCGCGAACAGCAAAATGTTCAGGTTTCGTAAGCTAGAGTTATATGGCATCGCCGTTGAGAACGCTGTGTCACTCACTATGTGATGCCCGTCTGAGGAATCGTAAACAAAACGCCCGCTGATTGTTGATTGGAAAAAGGACATTTTTATTATTATTATTATTGAATCTTTATTAAGTCATAAGATAAATAATCACATATCCTATGTTACAACATTAAAAGAAGGTATATATATAAATTACAGAGAAAATCAAGATAAAAATTATAAGACTAGATTATGTTTAAAAATTAAGCGATTAACAAACGTGTTTTTGAACCTATCAGTGTTTATTTTAGGATGGTGACTTGTCTCTTTCCTCAGATTGTACTTGGTTAATTTCTTTTTTGGCATTATAGCTCTTAAAGGGTGTATTGTATTATTAAAAACATTCTTGAAGATACGCGTGTCCTGTTGAACTAACAATTCATAAACATTAATGTGATCGGATGTATACTTGCGCTTATAACATCGATCTAAGAAACATTGGATTGTTGTTAATTCGGAATTTACAGCGCCAAATACGGACAACCCGTATAATATATTTGGTAGAACCAGATTTAGAAACAGATGGTCTATTTCGGCCTGATTGTACCCTTCTTTCCTTAAAGATCTTAAAATGAACAGGCACTTGTTTGCTTTAATTAGTTTTTCCCGAATATGTGTTATGAACCTACTGTCTTCCTGAAATGTTACCCCTAAAATAGTAAGCTCTTTTGTCTGTGGTATTCCAGACACCATCGGAAACTCTATTGTACAACCTTTCTTGCGGAAAATGATTTCCTTGCACTTAGATGGATTGCTACACATACCATTACTTCTAGACCACTGGGAAAACTGATTAATCAGTGCGATAGAATTGTCATTATCACCTATCACAGGCGAGATAATGGTTGTATCATCTGCATATTTTACCAGCACGCTCTTATTGTCCAAGTGTATCTCTAAATCACTGAGAAAGACATTGAACAAGTGCGGCCCGCTGACACTTCCTTGGGTGGTACCTTTGTTGACACTTTTCCATTTTCCAATAAACCCATTTCTAATGACTCTCTGCTGCCTGTCTTCCAAAAAGCTTAGATACCAGTTAACTATAAAAGGATTTAGGGGGAGTTGCTTCAATTTGTGTGAGAGGAGATCGTGTTTCACACTATCAAAAGCCTTGCTGAAATCCATAGCGAATAGGCGTACCGCTTTGCACTCTGGGATATCAAGATATTGATTGACAGTATGTTGGATAGTCAGTAGAGCATTGGTACAGCTCCCTCCCTCTATGTATGCAAACTGTGAGATCCCAGAATGTTCATCGAAGGTCTCCCTTGCGTGTGTTCCTAAGACAGCTTTCTCAAAGCACCTTGCGATGACAGGTGTCACATTTATTCCGCGGAAGTCTGATATTCCCTTAGGTATATCAACCTTCGGCAAGGGTACAGGTCTGACTTTTTCCAAGAGACAGGCCAGGCGTGTGTTCTAAGAGACAGATTCCAAATCCAGGTGATCACTGGAACGAATAGCTCGGCGTGGTCTTTCCATATAGTATACGGGATGCCATCTGGTCCGGTTGCTGTTTTCTTTATACGCATAAGAGAATTCAGGACTTGTCGCTCTGAGATTTCTGGGACTTCCTGATCTTCACTAATCTCCAGAGGTGTTGGCTTTCTGTAGGCGTGGTCAGTACATAGGTCACCAAAGTAGTCATTTAACGCGTTGAGTTCGTAGTGGCCAAGAGATAGAGAAATCACCGGCTTGCGGCGCTGAGATGTTTTATCCACTTTTTTCCACCAATCCCGAGTTCCAATAGAGGCGAAAAGTCCTTCTGTTTCTGAAAATCACTTCAGAGATCCTTTTATTCATAACTTTAAGACGGTCTAGATTACTGAGTGATATGCGTGATTTGGCTCGTATCATCGATCGAACGAGCGGAGTCATCCAGCCCGGGTCTCTTGAAGACATGCGCACTGTTTTCAGAGGCATGCAGCTATCCAGGTGCCCTAGGATGGTATTTTCGAGCCTACCAACCACTTCATCGACATCAGTTTCCTGTATCATATCATCCCAGTTTTCCTTCGCCAACGCGATATACAGATCACGCTTTCTATGAGCCCTTTGGTCACGCACGTATACTTTACGGCGGATAGGTGGAAGCTTTATTCCGGGTGGTAAAATAACTCCCATGTGATCCGTCTTGGAGAGCATGTGAAAGGGATAGCACTTTGAAAAGAGATCCGTGCGGTTCGTGAAACAGTTGTCCAAACAAGAATTCCCTCTGGTGGGGAAATTAACCAGAGCATTCCAACCAGACATTTCTTCGAAGCGTTTGATATCCAGTTTGTTGACATCGCCACCGCACAACACAACTGTTTGTGGATGTTTGTCTAGTATATTATCCACGGTATTTACAAGATGATTCATTAGATCGATCTCTGCATAATTAAATTTTGGGGGATGATAAATTCCACATATTACAAATCGATGTCCCTTGGGAAGTCGCAGAGTTATACAAATTAATTCATAAAGACTAGAGCGGTAAACATCCTCTACTGCAAGATTGTTCCTGATGTATATAGTAATCCCACCCTTATTGCGCATATCTCTGCCATTCCAATTTCTGTCTCTACGAAAGATGGAATAGTTCTCAATATTTACAATCGCATCCGGTTGTGCCGGTTTGAGGTGTGTTTCCGATACGACACAAACATCAATATCTTTAGATCGCAAGTCAGCCTCAAGTCCAACCGCCGCACGCACTTTGTTCTTAGTTTTTGCGAGACTGCAAATATTGATGAACATACACTTGGGAACGGCAAACCCGAGCAATCGGTAGATGATTTAGTAGGCTCTCGAGGAATAGCTGTAAGATATCTGTTCTTAGCGGGATCTTGGAAGCGATAAGGTCTAGCAAACCGCCGGGTTTTAACAACTTCAATGGGTCGACATCTGTCGGAGTGTTGCGATGCAGAGATATTTTTAGTAATTTTCCCCAATCTTCGTAATCCCGGACCTCTGTATTTCAGAATTCCCAGGGATTTAAGGGTATCGAAAACATGAGGCGCAGGTCGGCCCGCCGAACGTCTCAGCGAAAGTAGCCTGTCACGATTGTGAGAGCAATGGATTCTGACTGACCCAATTGCAGGTTGACAAGCAGAGTCCGAGGAGTTGGAGCTCTGTTTTCGTTTACCGTGGTCATTATCCACTTCTTCAGGTCCAGGATGTGGATGGACATCCATATTAACAGTAATGTCGAGCACAACAAACTTCTCAGGGGCGGCCAGGAAGACCATGCCTCGACTGTCCCATTTCACCATAGCCCTTCTTACCCGGAGATTTCGAGACCGGGATACTCTCAGCTCAAATCTAGCCATCCAACTAATGCATCTTGATGTTAAAGATTGATTTCGATAAGATCTTTCGACTGTTATCATAGTTATGAAGGTAAAAATATAGAAAACTGCAAGAGCTCTAAAGAGCGTGGCAGCCATATTGGCATGCATATATTCCGTTTTTGTCCCAAGGAATTTAAATGTTCGTACTCCTGATTAGCTACGTTTATAGGAGGGTCTTAATGGGATTAATTGATAGCCGTAAAACGGTCAAAAGTTGACAAACTTTATTCGTTAGTCGTAAAAGATGTTAACCGTAAAACTTTTCTTGTGACAACGATGGAATGATACTTACCATTAACCGTAAAATGGCTAAAATTTTAACCGCTAGCCACAAAAGCCATCACCCCATTGGAACCCTCTTAAAATTTAAGAAGCTAAGAAGTGTTTAAATAGATGAACATGACACATTCATGTATTTGTTCATCTTTCTTTTTTTTGCTTTTGTTTGTCTGTTGTTTTTTTTTCTTTTTCATGCTATCTATTCATCCATTATTATACCTCATAATTAAATGTATTTTGCTATATTTCCTGCAATTTTCACGTGTTAGTTTACATCCTTGGACCATGACATGTATCTTTCTTCATATCACTCTTCTCCAGGTATGGTTGGCTAGCAGATGCAACTTTTCGCCTCCCAATGCAAACGCGTATACCTAGTTGTGGAGGTCATATCGGTATTTATGGATCGTCCGACCCACAAGATAAGTCTAGAAAATATAATGCTTGGTGCTATAAATAGAGGAAGGTATGAGGCGTGAAGAAAGACTTACGACCGAAATATAATATCCTTTTTGGTGTGTCACTGAGATTTTGCATCAATGAAGAGTGCATCTATGAAGAGTATTTTAGAATTTACACCCAAAAAAATTGGAAAAAAAAACCCACAACAAACAGGAAAACAGGATGCCAAGAGCTTCGAGTGACAGGGCGGAGCTCTAGTTTAGCATATTTCCCGTCACTGTATTTATTTATCGATTTACTTATCTTGCCATTGCAAGTAAAGTTAGTATTGAAAACACTGGTAATAAAGGTGCCATTGTTACTGCAGAATATTCCAAGTTGTATTATGGTACTGTGGTATTGCAAATTGCTGTAAATAATGTAATTAACGTGAAGCGATAGTGATGAAAATCATTCATGATGATGATAACGATATTGATAATAACGATAATAATAACGATAATAATAATTATAATGATAATAATACCGATAATTATCATCATGATTATAATTATATAGCTTGAACCTGAGTATTAAATGCCACTGAAGTAGCATTTCAGTAAAGCGTGTAAAGCTAATAATACTCGCACAATTCTGAACTAAGTAAGGCTGGTTATAGGCTAGCCTGATGCGTAAAAAGAATACCCCTTCCTCCCCCGCAAATGCATTTCTGGGAGTCTTTAAATATTGGATGTTATCGATACCGAAATTTACGCTTTGAAGTACTATCGTTCGTGTCTTTGATTGGTGGAAGGATTTATATTCACAGTCGTTTGCTACCAATTTTTGAATTGAAATGTCAAAATTCTCAGTATGTATGAAGTAAAAACATATTACCATGTAATGTACTTTAACAGTTATTATTCATCCAAAAACTAACTCAATCACGCCATGGAACAACCTCTATGTTATACCGTTTCCCTTGTGTATTGTGTTTAAGTGTAAATTACCTGTGATTGTCTGTATGTTTCATAATTTGGATTGTGTACTTCTTGTGGATGTTTATATCGTTGCGCAATGTTATGTAAACTATGTCGAGTAATGTCTCAGTTTTGGGTATGAATTTAGTCTTGTGGATCAATCCTTCTGTCCACTTTTTAAGAAACAGCGTTGTCGTTTGTTAAACGCGTTCAAAACTTATCGCTGTTGACTGCTAACAAGAGAATAGAACCTGTTTATAATATCTTGCTGCTGATGCTTACCAGCTACTTTGATGTTTCTTCGCCACACTCCTCTTCGGCCCAACTGGGGACTTTAAAGGGATTGCTAAGACAAATGATAAATACTGAACTCCTGAAACTTCGCACACAGCAAGTATAAAACGCTACTTTTCAAACGTCCTATTTTGGTATCAGGACATTCCTAAATCACTCCGGGAGCTAAGGTTACAGTCGGACCTGGCTTCACAGGAGGAAGCCTGAGGTAAAACAATGGAGCACATTAGTCTTGATGATATCACTTAACTTTAGCACCCCTTGGCCTTATTTAGAGGGAATCTTAAGGGAATGTTAGTTTAAGCCAAACCGAAACTGGGAGTAATAGAAAAAAACATCCACAAAGCTACTTGATTGTAGGGGAGGTTACGTCAAGTGCGGCTAAGTATAACTAGCGTGCACTGGAACTTTTGAATATTGGCTTGTTCGCGTTTCCGTCCCTCAAGGCCAAACTTGTGTCAAATACCCCACTCAAGTGCTAGATTTGATCACCAATCTTTGTTTTTGATAGCTATCATCGTTATTTCTTCTTGCCTTTTATTTATTTATTTATTTTGTTGTTGTTTTG